TGATAAAAATATATACAGCTATACTGAGTCAAAAATCAGGTAAGCAACAGTACCAGAAACAGCCAGGTCCTTGGAGGATTCAATCACAGTGACTCCATCTAACGAGTCTTGTTTTCAAAATGAACTCAGAATGCTTTCTTTTCCCTCCCAAAGGGGATTTATGCTTAAGGTGTTTCTTTTCCTTCAGTCAAACTACCATTATAACCACGGATGTAGACTTACTGTGCTTCTTGGTGTGGGACTTTGGGGTATGCTCTTGTGTTTTTTTCACATCTGAAGAATCTGCAGAGAAGAAAAATGAAGCCTATTTGTAAATGTGATTAAAGGTTTTCCATTGACTAGCAGGTTGAAAGAAATAAAACCACAAAAAAGAACGAATATCTGTTTTTAAAGATAATCACTTTTCAGAAGGTAATCTAAGTAAGGAGGAAGGGGGAGAGTTTTGTTTTCTGTGCTATATGTTAATCAGCACACTTCACAAAGAGACCATTGATGAATAAAGAATGAATGCAGAGGTAAACATTTGGCTTCTGAAAGCTAAATTAGATTAACAAATACCTCACCCATGCTATGTGTGAGAGAGAGAAAAATAAGAGGATCACGTCTATAAAAGGAATCCTGAATTGTCCCATTATGTCTTAGGCTTTGCAGAAGCATGTAGTGTTGGGGGCTTATTTGTTTCTGCAGAGATGATCTAATGTGAAACGTATGTGCTGGTACCGATGCACAGAACACCTACCTGACTAAAACATAATGATCTGGCAAAGCCCTGTTGTTTGCAGGGGAGGGTGCGGGACTAGGACTGCGCTAGTAGGAGTTTTTGGCAGTGGGATGTGCCAATCTTGTTCTGTGGCTCTGAGCCACAGAAACATGCCATTTCTTATCAATGGAGCTATATCACCTGTAGCCAGCCTTGAGAGGAATCAGACTGCTGGCACGAGCGTTTGTTCAGAAACCAAGAAAAAGAAAAGTCCTGTCTGATTATCACTTTCAGCCACCTCGCATTCTGCACGTTTCATGCTCCCGCCCTAAAACAACCACAACTTCACTCTGCTATTGCCATTAATTAATAGCTTTCTCTTCATCAGTCTAATGGGCTAGTTCTAAGGAGTAGCCTCTCCTGTGTTTGCTTGTCGGTGCGTTTAGTGCCTGAATTCCATAAAGCAAAGCTTAAGGTCCCACGCACGTTTTCCCAGCTTCTATGAATGCACAATTATCATACTTTTTATGGAAACTGGGTATTTGCATGTGCAAATGACTCACGGGAAATATTCATTTGCATAAAAACTTGTCGGATTTGCACAAGCAATTGCAATGACTGCATGTGAAAAGGCAGATGCAAAGCTATTCACACACTTGCTTTATTCATACGTAACTGAACAGGTCAGAGAGGATAAGTCTAACCCCACTATTCTGGGCCTGACATAATTATTGTCCTTGACCCCCAAGCTGCAAACGTGCGCTGAGTCATTTTGCCTTCCCACTCTCAAAGAGCAGGAACCAGCATGAACCTCACTCAGCTTAGGGGGAAAAAGTAAAATGAGGCTTATTTCATTGCCTTTCCCCAAATTATGATTCCCTGATGTTATTAAAAGTCTCTGGTGAGGACAGCAGGACCAGGTCCTTTATTTGCCCTCTTATTTAAACCCCCCTCATTTTAAAATCCCACAATCCGCTTGCAAATGTTTGCTGTGCTCCATTTAGTTGGAGATTTATTCTTGGAAATTCAGTTGTCTTTTACCTAGCCAGTGATTTATTCTTGATTTCAGTTGTGTAAATAGCCCCCCGTGTTCTGCCTCCGCTCTTACGTGGAGACCAATTTCAAACACGCAACGCTGGGAGGCTGGGGCCTGACAGATGAAAAGAGTTATGATGCTGTTTCAACAAAGCTGTCTTGCAAAACTTGTGACAAAAGGTTGCAAAGTATTTGCATATGATTCAGGAATGAGCCATTTCTTTACGGGATATACAAATTTAGTTTTTACAGGAGGCTGTGCCCTTGGCGTGCCACCCTTGCTCTAGGCTCAACAAGTCAGTGGGTAAACACACAGAGCCAGGAGCTTGATGGATCCCCAGTCCCGTCAGAGAGCTCTGAAATCCTCGCAGCCATTTTATGAGAGTGGGTGGGGGCGGCAGAGAAAGCAAATAGGGTGCTTTTTTTTAAAGTTTTTGGTGGTTTTCTGTTGGTTTTTTTTTCTTTTTATTGCTGAGTGCATTAGTGGAAACCATATGTCACCTTGGCAAGGCTGGCTGTGCTCGGAGGTCAGGACACACCGAACACGCACGCACAAGACGCTGCTCCTGCTGCCTGCGTGCTCATCGGCATCGGGCAGCCCTGAGGAGCCGGGGGCTCAGGCAAAGGGCTACGAGTAAGGCACGCAGCGACAGCGCTTGTGAGGCAGCGTCCACGGCTGCACGTTCTCCTTTCTCATCCCCTGTGGCTTCCGCTACTTTCTCCCTCTGCCTGTTTGCTTAAGAGCCCCCAAGAGCGTCCTGCCTTTTGTCTCCCGCAGTCTCTGCTTTCTTCATTTCTCCCCACCTTGCGTCACCTGCAGAGCACCCCAATGCACGGCGCCCTGACTGCGCTTTTACCTGGCCCTACATCCAACGGGCTTGCTCTCTTGCTTGCCCTTCAGCAGGCAGATTATCCCTCTGCTGCATCCCCAGGACAGCTCTCTGCAGGCCTGACATGGCAGGTGCTGACCTCCCCGGGACGGTCATGAAGCCGCCATCAGGTGAGAGAGGCTCCAGCAGGGGTTGTGGGGTGCAGGGGAGCCGAGGGCTCCCCGCCTGCCCCGTGGCTCCTGTGCACCAGCCCGGGGCAGCCCTGAGCCTGGCCACCCGCAGGGGACCGATTGTTTGCTGCCTAGGGAAGCCCAGCCCTGTCTGGGGAGGACCATGGCGCTCATTTGCCCATGTTCAGCTACACCACAGAAAAGCTTATGACAGAGCTGGAACGTCTCATCTCTGACACTAACATCTTCCCCCTTGACTCATTCGCTTTAAAAGACATGTGGAGGTTGCAGATTGTTTGATCTTCTTTGTCTTGACAGAGAGAAGGGAGAAGCACTTCTTTCAAGCAAGCTACAGTAATAATGATAGCTAAAAGAGTTGTCAGAATCAGTATTGCTTGGTTTAAAAAAAACGGAGGCTCAGATTCAGTCCTGCAACAGAAGACCACGGAGACTATTATATGTCAGTAGCTCTGGGACAAGCGACAAACAATTAACAACATAATTACAAATTGCTTACCAGGAGGCTGGTGACTAGGTGTGGTCATGGAGATCTGAGCACGGCAGAACGTTTTACTGTCTAATAACTCTGGGAATTAAAAAGAAGACATTTAAAGTAATATCCTCTGACAACAATAAAAACACCTCAGAAATGCATAAAGAATTGTGGTGTTAGTTACCTACTGTGCTACCATAGCCACTGTCATACAGATAATTCTCGTCTTTCCAGGACACCATTAACGATGGATCTGAAGGTAAAGGACCAAAGGAAAATCAGATCACTGCAAGCATATTTTTTAGCACAGACGTGAATAGTGAGCACTGAAAGACTGCGGAAATAAGAAGTGTGCAAAAGTGAACTGAGAAAAGAAATGAGAAGTGAAGGGGCTAGCTGAGAGATTATTTCCTTTCACTCCAGTTATGGATGGGGTTTTGCACACTCAGACCAATGTACTTAGACAAACACTGACTTTTTAAAATAATGTAGTAGGCGCTTCCCTTTCCTGGTGAATATTTATGCATGCCCTTGTGGGAGTTTTTATATGCCAGTTACTACCCAATCCAGTCCTGAAATCTCAGTCCCTGATGATTATGACAGTGCTTTGGTGCCATGGAAATGAAAGTGTTCTCAAATATCTAGTAGAACAGGAGAATGCTTATAATGAACATTTATTTCTATAATTGTAGAACTCGAAAGTCCCCTCTGAAACAGGGCTTCATGTGTACACACATAGCAAGAAACATCAAAGCCTAACCCTAGACGTCGGGCCATTTTATTCCAGGCATGTCAAGTCCTCATCCTTCACCTAAAGGCCATCTTTACGATTAAAGAGAACAACTTTTTAGTGACCTTCTGGTCAGGTGGATCAATAAAAGCAGAAGAGGAGTATTGTCTTTATAACCTGTAAATCGATCAAGAGCTGCCAAAATTTCTCATGTTCATATAAATACAGTCAAAAAAACCCCTCAAATATGAGTTATAGCTAAATCATCATGTTTGGCTGAGTTACCACTTATGACATAGGAATTTAGCAGGCCTGCTAAGTAATAGCTGCATGTTTGGGCACCCGGAGCTTGTGCTCCTACAATAGCACACACCCTTTGCTTGTTTGGACACCTGATCTCCAAATGTTGTCTCTGAAAGCAGGCCTTACCCAGCAGGAACATAAGGAGACTGCTTGTCTTTACGTTTCAGCCTTTCCCAGTACCCACGTCTTAGCAATCTCAGGAGCCTACCGGGACGAGGCAGGCTTCCTCTCTGAGCCCATCAGCCTCATCTCTAACCCCTCGCAAGGAGCCTCTTTCCCCAGCTGTACAACCTTGCCAGCCTGCTGCTCCCTGCCCCAAAACCAAGCCTGGCCTGCCTATGCTGAGGCTTGCTGCTGCCCCACAACAGAGCGTCGCCTGAGCGGACGGCCCCCTGCTCATCTGGCAGTGACAAGGTGCAGCTGATCATCGCGGGCCGTGGTCTTTTCAGGACATACAGCTGCAGGACTGTGCACTCCACATCTCCAGTGAGGGCTGGATTAACGTTATATCAGGATCCCATAAATCAGGACTTTGTGGATTAGTTTTAAAAAAGGATTACTGTGGTTTTTCGTATGGCAAGCATCGAGCCTGCTGCGCACATGCAGCCTGCAGCACGTGCTCCCAGCGCGAGTGAGCACGCGGCAAGGACCAGGCTGTGAGAACAATGCTTGTCTGCTGCTAGGACAGGCAAATGGCCTCCCAGACTGGAGAGGCCAGGCCCCGCTGGCTTAGCTGCAAGGAATGGCCATCCATCTTTGACTGAGACATCACACGCTACAAATACGTATTAACTCCATCAGGAGATATTAAAATGTAGCTCATGATCACACCCACACACAAAGGAGCTGAGACTACCTGGACAGAGAGTGACCAGATATGGGCAGAGGTGTTCTTGGAAAGGAACCTGAAAAATAGTCATGCTTAAAGAAGAGGATTGAACAGAGTTCAATTGAACAGAGTTCTTTTCTTGGTGAACTGAAATTCCGAGAGGAAAAGAATTTAGCTAAGAATACAATGGGAAAAAGACTGTCACAGGAAAAATGCAGACTTCATCAAACCAAAATACTACCTGAATTTCAGTTGCAGTTGAAATACATAAAGAAACGTAAGATTTTGATTTTTCCATTCAAAATTGGTTTTTTGGGGGGAAATTTCCTCACGTCTCAAATCATTAGCAGCTATCACAACAAAATATATTTTCTCTTTTTTTAGCAGAGAATACTGTGAATAGAATTATTCTGAGTTGGAATCCACTGAATGAAGCAAAGAATGAAGTTTTCTACACAGCTGTACTCACTGGCCACTGCAAGCTATATTCATTCTGAAGGTAAATGTTTGCAGCGATACTGCAAAGGTCTCCCAGCTCGAATGATCACCTGCAAACTGAAATATGGCGGTACCACCTGAAACGTCAAAAATTCAGTAGATGTTCACTGATATTTGTGTTATTCATTTTATTCTGGACGATGTGCTTTCCATTGTAACCAATGCCACTTTGATCTCTCTCTTGAAATGGGCAATTTCCCCTTACGGTTGCCATCAGAAGTCAAGTTACCCAACTATTACTCACCTGTTTGTTCTGTCTTCACAACAACATTATGAGATTGATACATGTCACTTCCGCACTGACCTGCAAGAAAGCATATGCAGATAGGATGTATATCAACAAGCACAGAAAAATCAAAGATACTAGCTCCAAGCAGGGACTGCTACAGTTGAGCCAGGGGTGAATTCTGGAAGATGACCCTTTCCCCTGGTCCTTCAGACTCTGGCCTTATACCAGATATAAGCAGTACAGCAATATAGCTAATTAGGGGTGAGCCATATAGCAAATCTAGCAGATGAGATCTGCCAGGAAGGTTTCTGAGGAACATAAGCAACTTCTGAAGAATGCAAAAGTCAGACCACTGTACACGCGCCTCTGTCCCTGCGTGGGCTGGTGTCTATTTACCGTTCCATTTTAGGTGCTGAAGGTTGCTGTAAAGCAGTTGCCCTGCCGTCCCTGCTGCCTGAGTGAATTCCTGCAGACTCATGCTGCACAGATGTTCCCCGTTGATATCGAACTCCTGGAAAGGTATGCAGTTGGCATCCAGCTGGTTGGTATCAAGGAGATGTTGCAGCCACTCCCAGACCTGAAACTTGGTCCAGTACTGCGGGTGGATTTCGTGCCACTGCGTTCCATAGAAACTGCTCGACACTGGAAAAGAAAAGGTTGAGTGTTTACGGGCTCCGTTAGCACCACGGGATTAGATCAAGGACAGGAAAGGTATATAGTTAAATTGCACATCCTGGGCATCGATAGATCTAGATTCTTGTCTCGGGCCTTATCACTAGCTCACTAGCTACTGCTGGAGCAGATCATCTTATTTTTTTCCTCCCTCAGGTTTCCGATTAAAAAATGGGAGTTATTACCTTATCCCTTTCTTATCAATGTGTTGAATGAGTAGGAATGAATTTAGTAACGCTGGCAAAATGCACCAAAATTCTTTGCTGGAAGATACCTTGCAGGAGTACTGTCGCAAAGGTATGCTGATCCTTGTGTGGGAAAAGAGTTTCAGTGCATCAGATAATGATGAAAAATCTTGCAAAATCCCCATAATGTACAGCAGAAATTTCGTTTGAATAAGTACTAAATAAAGAAAGACTATGAACTGTGGGATTCGGCCAAAGAATAGTAAAAACAAAGGTGCTCTCATGTTGCTCCAAAGTAAAAATCTGTCAGTATTGCCCCCAGTTTCATGATAGAGCCAGCGTTCTAACAAATGCACATTATCTCTGTAATCAGTTAAGGTGATTTCTGAGTACAATTGTAAAATTCATTTTTTCATTATGGAAGTTGCCCAATTTTCTTCTCAGGTTTTCTGAATCTTTTCTTGGCCAATCTTCCCTCAGTCATATGTCACTGCATGACAGTAATATACCCGTACAAATGGAAGAACCTGAGTATGTGAAAAGAAATCTCACCTAGGGATGGGATAATTATACAAGATAAGAACAATGGCAGGATGGCTTGGTATGGCCTCACAGGAGGGCCGGCAAAAGGAGGACAGTGGGGTTCATCCCTTGAGAAGGAGGACAGTGGGGTACCCCAGGCAGACAGTGCTTGGCAGGGCAGGAAGGGCCAGAAGGGTTTCAGCATTAGGGAGTGACAGACAGCCTGCACAGGGGCTGAATTGCAGGAAGAGGGAAGACTGCTGTGGCCTCGCTCTGTGGTAGCCACACTCCGGGATGGGTCTTCATCCTCATAGCACTGATCCACTCCTTCACAGTTTCTCCCAAGAAAGAGTACCCCCACAGCTGTGAGAGACACTGGCAACAGTGGATATTGCTAGAGGACCACAAGCAGCAGAGTTAGCACATTGTAGGAAATTACCTCCGCTCAGCTAGACCTCAGGTCTCCGGCTGAGATACTGGGCACATTGCTAGTTTATAGGTGAAGACAAAAAAAGCCCCACATTTACTTAGGTTTCTCTGTCACTACTGGCCACTGAGGTCTGTGTCAGTAGCTTAGGAAGAGTTTGCATGGTTGTTTCTCATCCTGCTATTGAAGATTTGGGGAATAAGTGCACATAATTAAAAGTATAGTACGTCAGAGAATAGAGGCATGATGTAGCCATGAAGTATTCCCCGAAAAAGAGGTTGATAAGCATTGCCATCACTTTGGAAGGGTAAAGGATTTTCAGGGCCACCGGAAGACTTCTGAGGGCCTTTAGTGAGAGGAAAGAACAGCTAGATAAAATGAAGCAAAGGGGTGAATAATAGTAGAGGCTGGCCTGAGTTCTCAGTTTCCTCTGGCTCTAAAATGCAAGTGAATCCTGAGGAATTTCACACTCGGATTCCTGCAAATAAACCCCACAAATTTCTCTTTGTGAAATTCTGTGTGAATTTAAACTCAGCCACCATTTTCCCCAAGAATCAGTAAATGGGGACAGTAAATTTATTAAGTGCACACTTACATATTTCTGTGTATTCAGAAATGAATATAAAACAAATATAAAGGAGCAGAAACTTTCTCTTTCAGTTTAGTTACAGCATAATGTAGATTAGAAGGATAACTACAGTGTGTGTTTTACTGCTCAGATTTTAAGATTTAGCCAAGCACCCAAAAAGCACTATTTTGGGTGGTGAAAATTATTTAAAATTATATCCAACACTATATATATCTATACATCCATACAGTTTTATATGGAGGGATACTATTTATATTATAAGCATAATATTGCATATGTGTGTGTGTGTGTGTGTGTGTGTGTGTGTGTAAACACACAGCTATGATACATATCTCAGTATATCACTAATCAGAAGACAGTAAGATAAATTTCACACTGTGTCACATCTTGGGAGTTATTTTAGGTGTAAAAGTCATCACTATCTGGTAGTCATTAGAGGGCTTATATAGGATTGAAGAGATGGTTCTGTATATGTAAGAGAAGATGTTCACAGATCACAAACTATTTAGTGCCCTAATGCCGGTCTAATTACATAGCTATCCTAGTGATTTGAGATGAAAAAGCAAATGCAGTAAAGAAGCAAAAAGACTACTCCCTTTCAAAGCCAGAGGGGTGATTAACATTGAAATACAATGTTGATTCAGAGAGGGCACGAGGGGTAAATGGAAGAGAGAAAGATTTCTGGACTGAGAAGAGGGAACTTCTGGCACTTTTGTCACTACTGAATTAACTTTAAGAGAAAGTAATGAAATGAACTATAAAATGGTCTTTTTCAGAGACTTACTTTTGTGGATTTAGCTTTTACAAATAAAATAACAAATAGAAATTTTCCTATCAGAAGTAAAACTCCAGTAAGTTAGGCTAGAAGCAGTATCACTGAAAAATACTACTGGTGTATATTTCAAGAAGTAGTGTTCCCCCACCCCTCAAGAAAAGCATAGCTCAGAGCTGTGGCATTCCTCCTACCGTTGCATGTGGAATATCCGTCTGTCCAAGAAGGCTGCTGGTGGAGTAGGTTGCTGCTGGAATTGATACTCATTCTGCCAGCTCCTTCCAAAATCATGATCTGTAAGTGAATCAAACAGCTTGCTTAGTGAGCCGTGTCTAGTCCAGAAGGTATATGGCAAAAAAAACAAAGAAAAAAAAATCCACCGAAGGTGAAGTGAGCAAGCCAATTCCATTTGTAGAAGATACAATTGAAATCAAGAACATGTTGCCACAACCCCTCTTCAGCTGCCACAAAATCTCCTTATGATAAACATTACCGTGTTTGATTTGCATACGCAAGAAGCAAGTTTCTACAGCTGCCCATCCATAAATGAATAATCTGTAATAATCCGTCAGAAATGAAGCCTAATGAAAAGACAAGGCTCCTGACGGAGCAATACAGGAAGACTGCCAAGGTTTGTGAAGCGAAATACAAAGTGGTTTGACTTTTTTTTTTGATTTAAAGCGAAATTTCAAAAGTTAAAAAAATGTGGTTTAAATACGGGGGGTTTTTTCTTTCCCTTTTTTTTTTTTTTTTTGAGATGAGAGAAAGAACTTTTCAATAATTGCAAATTAAACTATACAGTTGACAACAACGCCTGTTCAGACACCTCTTCACACAGAAGGATCCACTCCATGATGTTACAGGGAGGTAATGTTACAGGGAATATCTTGCCAGCTGACCAGTTCCTTATCTGATCCGTGTCACTAGTGTGCATAATACGTTCTCACTGGCCAATGTCACAGATTATATGTTTCAAACCACAGAAAAATCAGAGGGTCAAGGTAAAAGATCTTGTAAATGAGACAGCCATTGCCACAACAAACAATATTTCTGAGTAACACTACCACCAAAATAACATTCCCTGCTTTAAGTGACACAAAGTTTCCTTTCAATTTACATTAGTGATAGCATCATGAGTAAAACTATCCTTTTTTATTTTGGTTATACATCTCTAGTGCTAAATTACAGGATATCACAGAAAAATAAGTCACACATTATGCATTTGTTCATACCAGTGAACATATACAAGCATTATCTTCCAATGGTTTAAAGTAGAGAAGTTTAAAAATGGGTATTATACACATACAGTATAGACATTCTTGAACAGCTTGGAAAAGTATTCTGCTAAATATTCAGGACATTATTCTTAATTAAAAAGAGGCTGAAATATAAAATGGACTGACGAAAAGTAAATTGCTGGTCTTGGCCTCTTATCCACTGAAGCCAATTAGAAAACGTCCATCGAGAGCACAGTGCTTAGAAGCAATCCCAGCCCTGGTTTCAAAGAACTGCCTGAAAACCACTGCGGCTGGTATTTTCCTCCATCATTTTTCAATACGTTAAGTCATTTTAAAACTTAAAAGTTAGCACATTTTAAAGGGAAGTGTGTGTCCGTATATTTATATGTTTCTGAGAATTACTTTAAAATCCAAAGCCTTAGGAAGTATATCACAAGCAATAGGCCTTTATATTATGACCCAGCTCAGGGCCTTTTTTTTTGGTAGCCAAACAGAAAGGCAAAATCAGGCTGTGGGTGTTTTAACATTTGCTTTCCACCCTTAATTCCAACAAACCTGTGATTCAGTTACTGCCGCTGTGGAGGATTTCCCATAGCAGGTGGGGGGCGGGGGAGGATAAAATGTTAACAATGAACAGAAGATACAGTAGCATCCCACTCTGGCCAAGTAAAAGATGATAGTTGTATCAGTCAGTAAATTTATGCAGACTATAAAAGAAGACAGATTTTGGCTCCATGTTAAAGTCAAATGACTTGGTATTGTGAGGGAGAAAGCGTCAGAAACCTGCTACACTCATTTTAAAGATGTTCATCCTACAACATGAGTATCACTCATTTCATATGCTTGATATAGGAGAGTGTTAAGCAATAGCTGGCTGTGTAAGATGTGCTGCATGTTTGACAGTCCATACATACACCTCTGAGAAGGCACAGACTGATAGACATATCAAATTCTCTATATTATTATCTTGTTTTTAATTATTTAAGACCTCATTTATTATCATAAAATTTTGAATGAGTCAAGTATTAACGATAAAATATCTTATTAGAGTATCAAATAGAGGTGAGGTAGAATACCAGGTCTTCTGTTGAAGTTATAAAACTTGATGACTAGCAAACAACTCCTAGGAACAGTTTGGCAAATTCACCTCTTTTTAAAACTTTTCAGTATACAGTTAATATTGAATTTCAAATTATTGGTTTGAAGTCATACTTTCAAAGAACATTTCAGAGTTACAGATCTGGTCATTTTGTGGAAATAAAAACGTAACTGGGAAAATGTGTTGTTATGAACTGAAATGATTTCTCTGTTCAAGCGCCTGTGTATCTTTGCCCTGAACATTCAGTTTAGGTAAATTCATTTTTCTTTCTTCCTAGCAAGCCAGCTGAATTTCCACACCGAAACGTCCTTTGACACTTTGGTCCAGCAACTGAAGCTATGGATAGTTAGGGAAATCAAATCATGAATCTTCTATGTTTTCTCTATCCCTAGCAATAACTAGAAGTAATGCATATTTGAGGTCTGAGTAGAAGCACTCTGAAACCCCTTTACCTAGATTTCAGTTGTTCCCTGAAAATCTTCTTCCTCTTTTGCAGTCTAGCAGACAATTATTCTCCACAGTATTCCTAAGCAACACCACCTCTATTTTCAGATGATATACATGACACTTGTTTTACAAATTAATTGACCAATATATCCTCTATTTGAAAGCTATGTTACCTCTTTTTGAAAGCTGTTTAAGGTACCTCAAACAAAATAACTTCATTATCTCCCCATATCACCTGTGGGAACAATTGTGCATGGAAGAAAGAACTTGAAATATGACAACAGTCATAGGAACAGGATTGAATTCAGCTTTAAACTTTTGCAAATAACTGGGTATTATTCAAGGTACTGATTTTGACTCATTTATATATAATACGATATTAATATAACAGCCATAGGAATTACAGCCTGGAAACTGTCAGGTCACCTCCTGCATCTTAATGCAAGTGTTCCTTCTTTGGAAATCACTTCTAGCACTTTGCTCAGGTTGGGTATAAAGTCCCACTAACCTAGCTTCCATGATTGTGCTTGGAAGTCTGCAGCATCATGCTCAGGACTATTTCCCCTATGAAAACTAAACTGTGATTTTCTTTATTTCATCCTATATATGCCTTTCTTTGATCCAATTCATGACAGATTTATGCTTCGAGTAGTGTCTCATCCCATACTTGGAAAGATTTTGAGTCAGGATATTGGTAGGGGCGTGCTCTTCATTAGTTTAGGGCCAAATCCTCAAATCTCACTTGTGCACAGACAAACCTAGTTAAAGGGTGTGAAGCCTCAAGGGGAAGGACACATAATATGCTCAGTTTTCTTTTAATCATATGCCATGTATCAAAGCAAGCGGTGGAACTAATGAAGCCTGGTTTCCTATGAAAGCGTATCTTGTGGTTGGATTCTCTACTGTCTAGTAAGATGTGAGCGCTGATTGAAGTTTTTCCCACGGTTGGGGCATTCATAATATCTCGTTGTCTCAAAGGAGTGAGCTTAAGCTTCGCTCTTTCTTTCAGACAGAGTATTAATAGATTTTCCTCCTCTACCTGGCAGCCTATTTTCATTAATCCTGTAAGAACTTCATATCTTTGAGACTTCTACCCCATATCAAATTTAATTAAAATTGGCAATGGGACTCCAAGATTATTACAGGCCAAATGCAAAAGCCAACACACAGACAGAACAACCACAAAAGCCTCATTTCCTCAGGAAATGGTGCTAAAAAGGGATTCTAGCTGAGCTGAGATTTTGGAAAACAAAATGAAGATCCTGGAGTCTGTCTCTTTACTGAGTAAGACATGGAATATTATAAATAAAAGTATTTTGAAATATCATATATGCATATGCACATATGTATTTATATGCACATACAAATACATGCACATACTTTTGTGTGTCCGTGTTGCTGGTATCTATCGGTACACACATTTAGAGTCTTTTCCACTAAAGATCAGCCACCTCTACAGCATAATCTTGTTACAGCACCTAGGACCACTGTACAGTTTATTAGAGGAAGCAAATATCACTTTACTTAATCAGTGAGGTCAAATAAAGTCGTGTACTCACGTTCAACAACATTATTTTCATAGAGAGTGGTGGTACGTAAGGAACGTAAGGTCCTAGAGGGACCTTGCGTTCAATATATCAGATGGTATTCAAAGACCAAACCCTGAAGGCCTCTCTTAGTGAAAGCTCTCACTGAAGTCAGGAGTTGTTTTGACCAAGTCACAGCCCTGCAGCTTGACAAGAAACAGGAGCTCATTTGCTCGGTTCTTCTTGTCTTTCTGGACCGCCTGACCACTCCAAGCAAACGGCGGTAACAGAAAGAGCAAGGAGCCACAGCCTGGCCATGGAGCAAATCCAGCACTGCAGAAAAACATATTTACAGATCCTTGAACCTTGAACATTGTCTAGTGCATGCTATGCAAATCATTTTATTGCACTACAGGTGTGCTCTGCGAATAAATTGCTCTGACCCCCGTTTCCATATTCAACCCAATGAGACATCCAGATAATGAATTTCTCTTTTTCTTTGAACCAGAATCTTTCATGAACAACTCATATTCAATGACAAGAAAATGCAGAAAACTGCATGAGATGTAGAGCAGAACTGAGAATATGAGTGAATTTTAAAGTACTACAAGCAGAGTGATTGTTCTGACATTGATTTGTACGGTTGCTTATGTTACAACACTGAACTGAATTAAGGGTCTTGTTAATTACAAATACGAGGGGGTGTTGAGCCCATAGGGAAGGTCTGTAAAGCTACATATCCTATGCAAAAGACAAAACAAAGATGTCTAAGGCAAAACTAACTGAAACTATTAAACTATGACTCTACCCGTAAGCTATGCAAAGTGTAAGAGTGACTTCTAGCTGAGACAAGCTCAGCGCAGCTCCTCCTGGCGTGTCCAAAAGGGTGGATCTCTTTTGGCACATTTACTTATGAGATCCTTCCCCATTTTCCCCCTTTTACCATCATGGCTGAACTTCAAATGTAGATTTCACCTGGGCCTG